GTGGGTGCTATTGAACCCTTAAAATTTCCTTCTTTCTGCATTTAATATCTATGACCAGCACGGCTTACAGAAATGTTTATTGAGAGCTAATTTATATAGAATTTTAGAATGTGCCATTTAGCTCGCCAGCATATTAATTGGGGTTTTGCATTATTAGGCTGAAGATTAATTACTAATCAGGACTTCTTCGTCTTCTCATAGCCCTCAGATATGGGAAGGGGTTTGAAGTGTATCGAAATTCTCTTGGACACTTAAACTTTTAGAGGTTTTGCCCTCCTTCCCTTTGAAACCGAGTTCCCTTCCAAATTTGGAATTCTCTTGAAAACAATATACAGTATGAAAGCCTAGAACTGCAGTTATATCTGGTATACTGTTAAAGTCAAAAATTCTACAGAAAAACTGCTTTGAGGACAATTTTGCCCAATTGTGAGCGAGAGTTGGGCGCGCCAAAAAGAGGCGTGGTCCCATGAACAAGCTGCATAACCTCCCCTTCAAAAAGCGAGAAAGTGTCGGGTGCAGACCAAACACCACAACTGACGACGGCCTCCAAGTAAATCTGGTTAGAAGTTGTTCATAGTGATAGCTGATTTTTGGTAAATGATAGTTGTAACATTTTGTGAAGGGTGTTGTCATTTGTGGTACATGGTCTGCACCCGACTGGTAGCTTCAGCAATTGGGAGCTACTTACCATTACAAAGTTGCCCGAAATCGTGAGCTCAAAGTGAGCTACCTCTACCGCGGTAATTTCAAGCGAAAATGCACAGCTTGAGTCAGTCAGCTGAAATATCGCACGCACAACAGCCATGATCTTGGGCCCTACACCCTTTGAGCCACAAGCCGACGAGACATTATGATCGCACGAAGGAATTACCATGAAAGAAATATTCTCAGGGAAGCTCACCTCTCGACATCCAATGCATCAGGATCTGCATTACTTCCCCTTCCGACCGGCAGATTTCATTTGCTGCGCATGGACGGCCATGGAGAAGGTGACCTTTAAACCTCAGAGAGAAGACCACCAATAAATTTAATAGGACCTTTCAGGTGAACCGTGCCAACGGTTGTCTGGTGGTAGTGCCTGGGACCCACAAGGGAACGCTGCTCCCTCACAGCTATCCGAAATGGGAGGTAGGTCTCATTGTGTCGAGCATCAACAATATTTGTCCTTGTCTTTGCATCAGAAGTTAACTCCGAAGTGTGAATCTGTTTAGGGAGGCGTGAACAAAGCCTACACGGCATCCAGGATTACGAC